TTTTTGCTACAGGGTGCATGCGCTCACCAGAAAGAGAGAGAGACACAGAGAGACAGAAAGCAAGAAATCACACTCCAGGGGGATGGCCACACCACAATCCCTTCTCCTCCATTCTCTTTAGGATCTTGAGCACGCACGCACACGCACCCGGAGTGAGTTTAAGTCACCGGGTCCAGGACTTGAACTGTGGTTGACTACATGGGAGTTCAGCAACATAGCCATTACACTAACTGCTGTTCCCATTATTTCTTTATTCTGACTGGATCTGTCTATCCTGAGCCATGAAAAGAAAATCAGAGGATACACCCTGCCAGGCTGCAAAGCCAGGGGCACAGAGGGAACCTACAAAAGAGGACTCTTCTCCAACATTGCAACTCCATGCACTTCCCCAACTTTCACTCAAACATGTTCACACACATGCACATATGTGCACACAAGTGTGCAACACACACACACACACACATGCTGCTGAAGAACTTCCAGCACAAGCTACCACCTCCTGCCCACAGTAAGTCCAGGATTTAATGGCTGAGCTTATCTCATGAGACATTCCCAAGGCTCCATTTTTCATTAAGCAATTTTTAAAGAGTTTTATGACCCCGTGAACAATAATTTTTTTTAGTGAAAGCAGACTGAATTGTAAGTGGTGGTAATTACACCAAACTAATTGTAGGCAAAATTAGTAAGAGGTCAGATCCGTTTGGTCGCAAAAGAAAATATATGCTTGGATCACACCTTAAACGATCTCCAGGAAATTAATTCATCATGAGAATAAAAGGAATCTTCTTAAATCAACAGTGACTCTCTCCTAAAACATGTGTGGGAAATAAGGTTTCCTCTTTGGTTTTGGCTTTTGTTAGATATCCACATGCCAGTCTGTACTAGGACTTTAATAGAACAGAAGGTGAGGGAAGGGGATCTACTTCAGTGCAGAGCAGTCCCTATGGACTTTTTCCCATGACAAAGTTTCTAACAGAGTTAAGTCTAGCTTATCTCACCAGATCTTTCATGGCCCTGCTGTCCTACTTCTTAGGGCCTTATTTCCCACCACTCTCTAGCCATCTGAGACCATTTCTGCGCTTTTGACTTACACATGAAATTCCTTCTGGAACTTTTACCTTGGTGCCCAACTAAGGCCCTTTCCTTCCTCAAAACAACTCAGCCTGGACAGAGAAGGGAGATAGACTGTCCCTCCCAGGACACAGATTTCATCCTCATGGGCGTTTTTCATACCGTGTTATGATAACAGTACACTGAGGGATAAGGCTGGAGGATGGGTTGGTTCATAGACACTCACCTACCAACCATGGGGGACTCGAGGTTGGAGACCTAGAGTGGCCTCATGTCTGACAGAGTAGGCAGCCT